TCCAAAATTTGCTTGATTGAGGTGGAGGTGGCGGTGACGATGGCGGTCGTTGGTCTGGATTTTAGGTTTGAGATGGGGGTGGAGATGGGTGAGAGGAAGAAGACGGCAGTGGGTTTTTTTTTTTTTTTTTTTTTTTTTTTTTTTTTTTTTTTTTTTTTTATTTTTTTTTTATCTTATTTTTTTAATTTAATTATTAGTTAAGGTGATAAATGAAAATTTACTCTTTTATCCATTTTTAAAATATTAAAAATGTAATCAAAGTTAAATTTTTTGTCAATTAACGGAATTGTGGATAGAAACCGTCCAAAAGAGCTTCACCTACAACGCTTGGAAAGGTTAGGGGTAATGGTTGCAACAAATCAAAGATTTGGGGAAAGCCTGTTAATATTTCAAATGTTTGGGGCTCTGCTGCAATTTTCCCTAAATTAATAACATCACTAAAGATTTTAATATCAATATTATCATTCTTAACTCTTAATTATATCTTCTAACCTCCACCTATGTCTCCTACGCAGCTCGCAGTAGATTATAATCATTCTTGTCTCTCCTACGCAGCTCGCAATAGATTATAATCATTCTTGTCTCTAAGAGTAGGACTAACAAATAATAATATATTAGTCCCTTCGATAAAGTAGATGGTTCAATATTAACAAACAAAAAGATGTTACATTTTTGTGCCTTAGACTGTGGTGATCAGGCCTCAACGTTCCTATGTGGATTAAGAAAACATCCTTTTATATAATGTGCAAAATGTCAGTCCCCCCCCCACGCCCCCGCCCTCCCTATGTGAAAGAAAAGCATAGAGTTGCACTACGTGTTTGTCAGTGTGTGTGACCTCTTTCGTCAGTATGGAGATTTTGTTGCAAAGTTATACAACTTGGAGAATTGGGTCTCCAAGTATCAAAGCAATGTAACTTTAGCAGAGGAAAACGGATAAAAGTAGGCATATTTCATGGATGATTATACGTAGAAAAGAAGATGTGTGTGTGTGTGTGTGTGTGTGTGTGTGTGTGTATATATATATATATATAAAGCCCGGAATTTTTGTTTTTCTTATATTATGTTTTTTATTTCTTTTTCAGTGGTGATCATGAGTCAAAATTTGATTTTGCCTTTACTCTTTATCTTTTCGTCATGGGGGCCTTTCAAAAGGAAAGTTGTCTCTTCATTAATTTTAAGGGCAAAAGAATTTCACCTTAAATTCTCCCTGTAGTGTAGGCCTAAGCCAAAAGAGAAGTGATTTAACACTTTCTTCGTGCAGTGCTTTCTCTTGGGCAAAATTTAACATTTTCATGTCATAACTTCATGTGAAAACCCTTTCCCACTTGTAAGGGATCTATCTAGACAAAATAAACGGCACCCCTTTAATTTTGGAATAAGTCAAATCAAAAGGAATTTGAATGTTGTGTATACATACCTGTAGTGATGAGTGATCTATACTGTCAAAATATTAGGTAGCCTTTTAATTTTGTATTTGTTTATTTTAGGATAAATCAAATCAAAAGGAATTTGATGTTTTGTGTTTGTGTGTAGGGTTATGCATGTGTCGGTAAAGTCTTGGTGGAAAAAGTCGACTTGAGTAACTTCTATAGGTGTTTAGTATAAAATTGCAAATTGTTTAAATATCAGAAATATAATTAATATATAAAAATTTAGACATTTTTTACGAGGTTAACTTCTTAAGATGAAATTCCAAAATTTAATAATAAGAATTTAGAAGTAGACATAAAAATTGTTTTTCTTTCTTGTTGTCTCGATACTGAAAATAAAAAAACTTAGGTTAGATTTTGATATTTCGATGCGCTGAGTACACTGTACGTATTTATGTGTGTTGGCGAAGAAGGTTGATTATTTTGTTTCGAAATAAAGTTATAATCTTGGGAAGAGAAAATTGGCGGAATGTTGAAATAGGAATACATATGTATACGCATAATTCCTTCTTCATTTTTTCTTCTTTTTTCCTTTTTGTTTTATTCCGATGCTTTGCCGCTCTCTCCCTGAAAAATTGTATGCACAGATGGTAACACTAAATTTTCTCGTAGCATTACTTCGTAAAGGACGTCTAGGCTTCAATGTTGGAAAATTCCTTTGCTAGATGTCCTAAAATCTGTTGGTAGACTTTCTGCTAGAGACTTCTGCCGTCACAAAATCGCCATCTATTGTCCGTCGAGATCTCATCACCACCAAAAAGAAAACCCTTATAATTCCTACTTGTGCACTGATAAATAATATTTGAACAGGAGGGAGGAACAGATCACCATTTAATATTTTAATGAATTTAACGTAACATTTAACTCTTTGTTTGGTAAGACAAAGTGACAGTGGACGTAGCCGACATGAACTTGAATTTGGCAGTACTGCTCAATCGCTGTCATGCATGGGGTAAGGATCATCCGGACAAATAAATACCCAATCGTTTCATAGTATTCCCCACCACTCTTATTATTCACCCCGAGATACAGATGCCACCGTGCGACACATAAATACAATATTAGAGAGAGAGAGAGTCAAAGAGTTCATTGAAATGTCGTTTCAATCTACAGTACGTATATCAGAAGAATTATATGGGCAACGTTGGAGGGAGACTCTGACTGCAGTGCGTTTGTATAATTGTATCAGAAATGCTAAGCTTTTTTTATGGTTGATAAATTCAGTAAAAAAAATATTATTTAATACACATTCATGATTATTATGAGAATGTGAAAAAAAAGAAAAGTATTTTAGAGTAGTAATTTTTTGAATGATGTATGATTAAAAAAAGAGAAAAAATTTTGAATTTACGTGTGATGTTATTTTATTGGAGAATCTTATTTTATAGGTTTTTTTGTAATATATAAATTTATGTTGTTCCATTATTGGACTTTGTTACTTGTATATAAAAAATATAAATAATGGATTACATAATATGATGTGAAGAGAAAAGATTAAATGAAAATGTTAATTGTATTTCAAACTGATAAATGGTAAAATACTATATGACACTATGTAATCAATTATATAAATCTTTATGTAAATATAACAAAATCCTTCATTATTTACCCTAATTTTTCATTATTTACCCTAATTTTCGTTGTTCGTAAAAATTCTTTTGTTCTTCTCCTTCCTTTGGTTCTTCTCTTGATGTTTGATTTATGAGCATTATATTGATTTATATTATTATCGTGATATTAGAGCCCAAATTTGTGTGTTGAAATCGATCTCTTTTCATTCCTTTCATTCTCAAACTAAATAATATAACTAATAATAATATTATGTAATATTATTATCCAAATTATGCTAATGAAATATACAGCTAGTTATGAGTAGAGTATATGAAAAGGTGCATATGTGAACCAAACACAGCTAATTTGAAGTAAAAAGTTGCAAAGTAACTTACGTGAAACAATTTTTATCATAAGAGGAAATGGCTTCTACTTATCATTAAATGAACAAGTAATCATAGTAGGGGCAAGGATATTCTTGGCTTACACCCATTGTTTTCTTTAAATTGCTTAAAGTAGTGAATCTTATTAGATGGCAGAGATTCCATCCATTGCAAAAGCAAAAGAGCATCACGAGCACCCAAAAAGCTGATATATTTACAGAACATAAAACATAAGTCGCATCTGTTTGTCATCCATTATTTCACATTCTACCACATTTTTTATTATACAGTACTCATTTTTAACTATACATTCGTCATTAAAATAATATCACACACAAATCAAAATTTTTCCTTCTTTTTTAACGACACATTCTCCATCAATCTACTGTTCCATAATACATTTTTCAAAACTAAAGGGGCTCAAACACACCCTTAATCTTACATTTGGAAGGAATTATACTGTCTACCGTTTGTTATTCTAGCAAACTCCACTCTCGCTGTGCACTCAAAGGACTAAAGAATATTTGACAAGTGCCTTATCCAAAGATGACGGACTCTTTTATGTTACTAGTGGATTAGTGAAGACTCGCGCACAAAATCGAGATCTTAAAATTCGTTATATCAGTAGGAATATTTTGACGGCATAATATATGCATAGGATGCTCAATGTACTCCAAGAAAGCGGCCTGCCTTCTTTTGCGAATCCCCTGGACACCCCCCCACCCCACCCCCAGCATGTTGACCTATAGAAAGATCAATATGAAATCAAGAAAATAAGTGTACAATATGATTAGACTCTCACAGAATTCACGATTCTTTTCCTTTTATTCTTCTCAGAGTTTACAACCATGCAATTGTTACAAGATTTTTCTTACATAGCCAGTTATATAGAGTGGTGTGTTTCTCACAGTCACCCGCACCATCGGAAGTAGATTTGAAAGTAAAAGAGATGGAAAGTCAAACAAGAAATGAACCTTTGAGCTAGATCATGACATCAAAATAAAAACTAAAATTGCATATTTAGTACACAGAAATTAATAAGATAACAAGATTCTACAAAATGTACCTCTATGCATTAGCCACAGACATATATTCTCACTTATTAAATGTTATAGAGAAATGCCACTACTTTAACATTAACTTTCCCGTGCTTTATGGGTCTTTGTTTCCTATGTTCACTGCTTGGCAATAAAGACTTGTTTGTTCTATCACTGCAATGGATGAGCTGATGTTGTCAAAATTGTTAATTTATTATGGGAATTCTAGGATTAATGAAACATTAGTTTAAAGGCTTAAAAGTAGCACAGACAAAAAGAAAAAGAAAAAGAAAAAAAGAAAATCATCATGAGCTTAATGCAAAAGCAATTTTTCAGGAAATTAAGTAGTTAAATTAAAGCTCAGTGTACATCTATTACAGTATTACTACAGACAATGCTAATAAATTCCCAGAAAATAAAGCAAAATGTGTAGTAACACAAACATGAAGTATGCTTACATAGACATATACGAGCACAATCCACTAATAAGGTAAAAAAGTCATGTTGCTCTAATTCCCGATACAAGCAAAGACATAGCGAGGGTTAGCGTTCAAATTCTCAAAAGCTATAAGTCAAAAGAGACTAGCATCGAGCAACAATTAGAAGAATAAAAAGTTTTTTAGTGTTAATAATCTCGAAACAAGTAGATATATATACACGCAACTTTTAATCATGCTATTGTACGACTAGTTTGACATTTGTGTAATGTCCATGATCTTTACACCTCACACATTGTCATAATAATTGTACAAATTCATTGTACAACTAGCTTAATTCTACAACTTTTAACTATCAAAGTCTCGAAATTAATCTCAAAGTTCAAGATATGAGAAAAAAATCAATGGCTAAAATAAAAGAAGAGACGAACAAATCCAGCAGCTAAATTACTTCTTACTGCATGGACTCATCATCTTGTTCAATTTCTGATGCAGGCTCTTCTTCTTCTTCAAGCCCGGTAAATCCATAAGCTCCATGTCCATTTCCAAAAGCCTTAATATGATCTTTAAGGGACCTTTTGTGCTTAAAATCAGAACCACAAATGCAATACCAGAGTTTACCACAATTTTTCTCATGGGTTCTCCAATCTCCCCTCACTGCAAAAGTTTTTCCACATTTTCTGCACATAAAAGGCTTGATTCCATGTTTCCTCTTGTAATGTGTTTGAAGTGTTCTGAAATCTTTTAATGGCTTTGCTCTTGGGTGATCAATATTATTTCTGCAGCCAGGTTCACAACAATAACAAGGAAGCCTAAGCATTCCTGTTGGTTGAATTCCCCTTAGAGATTCAGGCCCTTTTCTGTACTGTGATCCGTGCCCCCACATATGCATCTGCACCATCATCAAATAACAAATATAAAAGGTAAATATATTAGTTCAAGAATGTGTTGGACTACTTGAAGCTCAATTATATTGTACACTCATCCTCTTGACCGCAGATCGATCGGTCGGCCTAAAAGTAATACTATGTAAATGCATCCGCTGTGTCATAAAATAATTGAAAAGGTACATGTATAGAGCACTGTTCCTGTATATGTCGGACTTCTTGAAGCCTAATTATATAGAATTATATACTGTACATTTATCCTCTGGACATTAGATGGACCGACCTAATACTACTACTATATAAATGATGAATGATTAGCGTACGGCCATTTTGTGTGCAAGAGATGCTAGAACTTGCACTGGATAATAGATTTTAGCAATATAAATCTGTCCGTATTTTGCTCTGATTCCTTTCGTTGACTACTGTATTCATCACCGTAGGAATTACGGCTTATTATCCCTACTATAAAATGCATATTGTGTGAATATATATCAATGTAAGGACGATTATACTTCACATAGGATATCTTAATTTTTTGGAATGCACATGTTTGTTATTTACACTTTCTGTTTTGTCACTGAACACGAAAGTACATAATTAATAAGCCATCAAAAGTTCTGGTTCTTAAAGTTTCTTTTAAATGAAGACATCTTGACTGAGTAATTTCCATTTGAATTTTTTTTTTTCAGAACTTGTAAATAAAACTCTGGGTTTCCCAAGTGAACCTAAATAAAAGTGTGTTAATATACAACCTTTCCTTGTCTTCATTAGATGTAAAATGGAAGAAAGAGGAAAAAAGATGCCTCTGATATGGAAAAAGTTTGTGAGAGATAATTTGTTAAGAATTGAACAAATCTGCAGCTTCTTTTACAGGCTGAGATTCTACAAACTGAGTAGAAATTCTCAGCCTTTGAAGATCATCTTTAATGCTTAAGCCCTGAAAACTGTTTGAAGTTTCAGTTGTGTACAGTTACCGATTTGTGATGCACAGACTTGAAAGCGTGTGCTAAAAGCATAACATTTTTTGAGCTGTTCCATCACATAAATGAAGAGTCTCAGTCTCGTCTTCAGTAGGATTCTATCAGTCTTCATTCTGAAAAATTAAAAATCTCAGAAATATGACCTGAACTGGATGAAAAAGAGTAAAAACAAACAATATTTTTACAGATTAAATTATCCAATCTTTTTACTGCTTTAAACAACTTTACAAGACTGGCATCTACTAAAAAAAGAGGGTAATCAAAATTAGTTGCGATGTTTATCAAAGAGGATTCCAAAACTAAAATTTAAAATCTTATCTGTTCAACAAACAAGACATTCCCATAAGGTTTTTTATAAGAAAGTGGGAAAGGTAGAAGGGGAAGCCTTAGAGATTGTGCTAAAACTTACTTGCATGTTGTTGTATCTGTTGAAAGTCTTGAAGCAAACAGGACATGAATACTGGGTTGGACCTATAAGAATCTGGGAAGGGGTTGGAATCCAATATTGTCCCTTGTTGAGTCTGTTGATTGGGTACCCAGAAAGATCGACCTCTTCATCTTTATCCGTACTTTCAGCAGTAGAAGATCGCATAGAAACCAGATCAGCAGCACTAGGGTTTGGCAACCCTATGTGTAGTGCAACAGTAACATCTCCGTCGTCCTCCACGTTGTCATCAGGAGTCAAAAATATGTTTTCTGTTTGACTATTATCTTGTCTGGCTTTGGTCTTGTCCAAATCCATGGTGTGTGAACAAGAAGGTTCTTGTTCTTCATATCTTGTGGGACATAGTGTCAGAAGTGGAAGGGCTTCCTTTAGAGGAGGTGAAGGAGGTGGAGTTTCAGGAGGATTTGAAGATAGAAGATGGTGAAGAGTGTTGAATTTGAAGCATTTGTAGAAATTATCTGAAGAGGAATCAGTCATGGCGGAAGGGGGGAATGGAAAATGGAAGACGGATGGTGCCCTTGTAGAGAGAGAAAATGGAGAGAGAGAGAGTAGAAGATGATCAAGAGTGGATGGTGATTAGCTCAGGCAAAGCTTAGCAGAAACATAAAGTACCTAGGGAAAATTAGTAGGTAAGGGAGAAGAAAGATTATACTTAAAAGTTAGCCATTTATTTTCTCTTATTTTTGGGCGTTTTCTTTCGTTTTTTTCTTGCGAATCATCTGCTACAACAAGTCAATAAGATAATCACTATCCTACCAGACATCACATTTAGTAATCACTGTCGCTCATAACGATTTCACCACTAGTCAATATAATGAGTAATATTTAATTTGTTTCACTTTATGTTATATAATTCGTCATATCAAATATGTCATAAAGAAAATGTACATTACATTGTGGACTATCTAAAGAGGGAACAATATAAGATTTTTTTTAATAACCCTGTTTAATTTTATTAAAAATTAAATTTTTAGTAGATTTTGATTATAATTGATGAAATATGTTGTTAAAATTAATGATTAAATTTGATTGAAATTTTTATGATTTTTTTTTTTTGGGGCATTGTTGATACTTATAATGTTATTGATACTTCAAGTGCAACACTAGCACTCTTAAACAGTGTTCTAAAAAGCACGCAGACAAAACGCTTTGCCTTTTTAGTAAAAGCTAATAAGCAATCAATTGCTAAGTTGACCGCTTAATGCACGACACACCTAGATGCGTTTTATTTATTTTTTACTTTTTTAGAACCTTTTAATTGACTTTAGTTTATTAACTTTTTTATTATTTTATTCTTTTTTAAAAGGATTTCATTTATCTTTAGCTTCAAATTTTTAAACGAGTTTATTTGTACAAAAGTTAAAAATGACTTTATCCGATAAATATTTATATAAGATTTAAGTTATAGTACTATCTATATTATATAATTACGATTTTAAAACTTATCATTTTGTTGGAAACTTCAAAAGTATTTATAAATTTCCTATAAACCTATTTGTCAAGTTGAAAGTTAAAACTATGAAAAATAGTATAGTTTTTGCAATTCAAACACTTGAAAACTTTATAATTGACTAATTTTAATAATTATTAAGTAAACACAGTATTTGATAATTTTAGATGTTCGATATATATTATTTTATTTATTAAATAGTTTTTTAGAATGATTAAGTATTTAAAATAATAAAAATAAGTAATTTTTTTTACGCTTAAACCTCGCCTAGCTCGTCAAATTTGAAACTCAACCTCCACGCTTAATTACGCTTTACACCTTTTTAAAATAATGCTCTTAAGAAAAACCTCAAACTAACCCTAGTCGACAATAGTCACAAGGCATTATAAATAATTGTTGGACATAAAATTAACAAACAATATTATTTGTTGGTTTTGAACTTTACACGATGTGGAATAGTTAGAAGAGAAATTTATAAATCTGTTGGAAAAGAGAAGAAATAAAAGGGTCTACGAAAATACATGTATTTTCAATTCGAATGTCAGATTTACGCAAGCGAGTATAATCTGAAAGCATTTTTAAGTTCTCTACAATTTTGTCGGAGTAACAATTAATTCCATCGTCATGACTCGAACTTTCAGGGTCAAATTTCATTGTTTAGGGGTTCCTTTTAACATTTTTTCTATTTTGAGCCAGTTTAAGGGTGTTTTCACCATTTTTGCAATTTTAAGTTCTATTAGAATTTGTCTTTCGAGTTAGGGTTTAGCTTTGATGTTTTAAATACATGCTAAGGGGTTAACACCCTATGTTTGTTCTCAATAATAATATTTCAGTTTTCGGTATATGGTGGATTATAGTATTTTTCACATCCGTTCAAACAAAATTCGAGCAGCATCTATTCATGTATTACAAGCAAGACTCTTTTATTATTACTCACGTTTTTGTCCTGTATTATTAACCTCCATGGCTAAACATGTAAAGGATAGAAGGGATTTGTGGAACTAAATGATCGGCTTGAATGGAGCTTTCCAGCTAAAATGATGACATTTTAACTACATTTGAGAAGGCTTCAAGATAGAAAATTCGGCAATTACATGTAGTCAGAATGTGGGGAAGCTGTCCGGGCAATGTTTTTTAGATGTTCAATTTACGTACAGGTTTTGTAGTCGTGACAATTATCTTGGTTTACCGGCCTCAGTGGCGTTAACGAAAAACAAACTTTCGCTTCGATAAAAGAAAAACATGGAACTGGGTTATAAAGGGCTGTTTAAATCTCGACATTACTCACTTATTGTTCACGTGTCAAACTTTTGATTGATAAAAAATCAATCATGTCCATGCCTAAATGTTGGTGTTGAAGATAAAATTTAAAAGTATAATTTTTTCCCATTTGTAGTGTCAAATCAATTATATGCCAAGTCCGCTAATAATTTTGGACGGAATTCTTTCTGGACCTAATGGGGTTCTGGACTAAATGTAAAGGGACTGATGAAGTCTGATTTAAAGCTTGGGGACACGTAAAGTTTGGGTACAATTCTGATTGTTGTAACCTATACAATACACAAGTTAGAAAGAAACTAGAAAGACAAGGGAAAACTTATCCAACAAAAAAATTGAAACAGAAAAGGTGAACAAAGCTGTTGAGGAGGATAAATACAGAAGTTGAGTCCTAACCAAATCAAGAAAGATATAATTGCTTAAATTAATATGAAAAATTCTAATCTTTGTATCTTTAAGAGAATCGATTTAGTTCGTCAAGTTGTGTCTTACCTGCCAATAGATTATGTAATAGTTCGAAAGATTTGGAAATCTTTCATAAATCATTACACACTGCTTCGTCCCTGCGCTGAAACTAGGAATCATTACGATTAAAAGCAGATAACCTACTAGGTACAGTCCTAAAAGAATGAAGGTGAAATTGAATCTTTTCCGAGTTTGATGACCAGTCTAGAATCACCAATCCTACAGAGGAGTACTTCCCCTCTGAGAATATAAGAACCTCTTTACAGTTCACCAATTACAGCAACACCTAGCACAGAAAGTTCCCAAATATCCAGATTGAATAAGTTAATACATTAAGCATTATATACAAGCACAATTGAGGTGAACAAACATGCTAAAACTACCATATTATTGAACCAAAACTATAGCTGAAAGCTCAAGGTTGGGGATCCGATTTTAAGACCATTTGATCTAATGCAAAATGGCGTATAGCATTACAATAAGCTTTCCCATTCCTTGATTGAAGCCAGTACTCTGCTCCCCGCACCTAGTCTTTGTGCTTCTTTCTCTTCTTCTCCTTCTTTTCACTTCCATTTGCATTATCATCAGGTAAAACAGAGTTTTCTTTCATCCTCGTGCTTCTTCTTTTTCTTGGACTTCTCCCCATCCAAGATCCCAGAATCTGCATTGGCTTTATCCTTCTTCTTCTTATCCTTTTTCAATTTCTCGCCACTAACATCTACAGCATCTTCACCACCCTTGTTTTTCTTTTTATTCTTCTTCTTCTCTTTCTTCCCAACTTCCACAGTCTCAACCTCATCTACCTTCCTCAGTTTAACCCTCTCTTTCATCTGCATGGTCTCTTCAGCTTCCAAAGAGACCTTAGCTTTTTTAACATCTTGTGCAGGGCTACCATCAACCTTGTCTAGTTTGCGCTTACATCCCTCCTCTTCATCATTCTTGTCCTTGTGTTTCTTTTTCTTCTCAACTTCATCAACAGCACTCACCAGTGTCACCACTTTCGTGGGAGCGGCCAACTGTGGCTCTGCAGCTGCTGCAAGACCAGCAACCATAGAATCACCTCCAGTAGGCAGGGCAATATTCCTCAATCACTCAGCCGGGGTATTCTCATTTGGTTTCACATGCTTATCCAACTTCCCCTCCACAATCAGTTTCTTCTTCATTGAAGCCCTTGGCCCCAACCCCCAATTCCTAGGATACGTATTCCTATCCATTACCACTCTCCCCGTTTGAATCTCATTACATTTAATTTCATTATATTCCATTTTTTTCTCTCCTATTTTCAACCACACAATCTTTCATAAAATAATATTATACGTAAATTGAATTTTTTTTTCTTTTTCAATCACTCATTTTTCAATAAAACTATTCCATTCATTTTCATTTCCAAAGAGTGGGGGCCAACGGGGTCCACGATCGCATTTGTCATCTCCGCAATCCCCATAGCAATTGCCTCACCCTTGGTAGTCATTAATGTAAGAAATTAAACCCTAATGTCAAGATCTTTAGAATTCATGATTTTCACATATGAATTTAATTGATCAAAAAACATACCTTGATCCATTGCAATAATTGAGAATTTTAGATCTGCAAAATAATAAACTGTTAAATTAAAGAATCCGTTCTCTCACTTTTCCTCTCTTTTATTGAATGAATTAATTGATGGGTTTCATTCACATTTATAGGCAAAGAGAGGTAGTTTCCAATGGACCATAATACTCTCCACTTATAGGCAGAGAGAGGTAGACAATTATAAAACTGCCATTTCTTAATTGGGCCAATAAGATTTTAGTAATATTAACCACATTTAATTAATTCTTTAATATTACATGGGCCACAACATAATTGGTTTTACATTCTCCCACATGGCCCGTGTAATATTATTTTGTTACATGGTATATAACATAATGCGCATACCATGAACTAAAATCCATCATACATTAGCCATTAAATATATCATCTTTAAGTAAAAACTAATAAGAGTCATGACGGTTTTACACCATCATATAAGCATAATTCCTTCCATGTACTACAGTATTAGTCCCTACCCAACATGACACATAATGAGAAGTTCGATAATTGCATTACAATAATGTCTTTGAAATTACTATCCATATCAGCATTCACATAATCCATTCACGTACATGACCCGCAATTATGAGAGGAATAATATTTTATCAAAAATAATATATAAATGAGCTCAAAGTGTCAATACATAAGCATCATAAATTACATAATAATGTTAATGATAATTTTCAATAATGCCCATCCTTTCGACAATGTTCATTAAATGTCTTTGGTGGCAATCCTTTCGTTAATAGATCTACAATCATAAAATTGGCGCTAATATGCTCGATTGACACCCTTTGTTTTTAAACTTCTTCTTTAACGACAAAGTACTTTAATTTCATGTGTTTAGCACCTTTAGAGTATTTGTCATTCTTTGAAAAGAAGATTGATGCAGAATTATCACAATAAAGTTTCAGCAGCTTGGCTATACTG